TTCCCCAGCTGAGCTTGGGGCCACAGTCTATGTGTTCTATAAGGAATCTAAGTGTGGTAGAGGGTCAAAGCATGGTGAGGGCTTAGGACTAACTGGCTTTGAAAATCACCTGAAAGAAGCTGTCCCTGCTGGATTTTGGCTGTTTCAGAGAATGACACCCATTTTTCCTCTGAAAGTGATCCAAAGCCCATTGCAACATTTAGGATTCAGACCCACTCAAAACCAGCCAGGGCCTGGAGTCAGGACCCGGTGTCTGGACCATCCTTCCATCTATGTGTCAACTCATCTCACAATGAGCCCTTTGGGAAACAAATGGTTCCCAGTACAACACAAAATACCGGAGAGCTCACACTGTGTAATCCCAGTGGAGGTAACCTCAGAGTGCTTTCAGCTGCTCTTTGTGGGCTTCTCACACACTGTGGGTAACCACCTGATATTACGGGAAGCCGGACACGCTTTCCCGAAGCAGCCCGTTAACCCTGTGGTTCTTCCCCAGCTCTTGGCAAAGGACTGGCCCTTTGGTGTGCAGGTGTGCAAGCTGGTCCCCTTCATCCAGAAGGCCTCAGTGGGCATCACAGTCCTCAGTCTTTGTGCTCTCAGCATCGACAGGTAAGAAACAACTTCTACAGCTGCATTGCCCAGCCTGACCCATATTTGACTATAGCATGACCCCTCATTGTAACCAAAAGGCAGACTGCAGAGTGACTTGGTCCTAGGGCAAATTCAGAGATGGGGACAGCGTGCTGTCATGCAGAGTTGAAGTCCAACAGGAACTGACTCTGGTGACAGAGTTTAAATCCTGCTGGAAAAGGTTGAGGGGAGGATCATGATGTGCTTGAACAACTGCTGGGTGGTGGGGAAGGATGGCACCTCCTCAGTGGCAAGTGGACATTGGCCAAGGATAGCTACCGTCACATTCATCCACTGAACCCCTGCTTCTTTCCCATTCCACCGAAGAGGAAGGGTCAGGGGTGGTGGAGGAAGACGTAGAGGAAAGGGCCTTTGGGGACAACTCTAACCTGCATCTTCTCAGCCCCATCCTGACAGTTGCTTTTCTCACTCCAATCTGCTCCTGTTGGCACACTGGGCAGGTACCGAGCAGTGGCGTCCTGGAGTCGGATCCAGGGGATAGGAATCCCCATGTGGAAGGCAGTGGAGGTGATGCTGATCTGGGTGGTGGCCATTGTGCTTGCAGTCCCTGAAGCTATAGCCTTCGACATGGTGGAACTCAACTACTGGGAACGACACCTGTGGGTGTGCATGCTTGCCTCTGAACAGAAATCCAGCTTCATGATGGTATGTACTCTGCCCCACCCCAGCTGCAGTGCAAGGGAGAGGGACACAGGCAACCAGCGCATCCTCCCTCCTTGGTTAGAGGACTAGATGCTTCAGTAGGCATCTTCTTCTAGTCATCAGGGTGAACACAGGGAGAGCAGTATCAGACAAAGCACAGAACACCCAGCATTGCAGCGACATGGGTCAGACTTGCTTTGAATGTGGGGCCAGAAAACAGGCAGCTGGTCTTTAAGCTGTGTTGTGTCTTCACCATTCACATCAGAAGGTCATGACACATCTCAGGAAGCTTCAGAACTTGCCATGCTGCCCCAGCAGGCCAAAGAGCATCTCCACAACCAGTCTGCATGGGTAACCTTTATCACAGGGTCAGCTAAGGGTGGGCAGGGAAAGAAGACCCTTACAAAGCATCAGAATTTATCCCACTGTGTCTGCCAAATAAGCTCCCTGCTACTGTTTCTTGCACAAGAGTGTAGATTGGACTGACAGACAGATGTACACCAGCTTTGACTTTTTTAGGTTAAACGTGTATCAGCCTCGGGGGAAGAAAATCCCATGTGCACAGGAGCTGTTACACTTTCACACATCAGAAGTGTCTGATACAGACCAGCATCAGTGTCAGGGACTGGGTCAGTTCATGCCTTGGTTATGCCCCCCACCTTTCCCCAGTTTCCAGTTGCTCTTTCTTTTGCACGCAGTTCTACCGTGATGTGAAGGACTGGTGGCTTTTTGGCTTCTATTTCTGCCTCCCCTTGGTATGCACTGGCATCTTCTACACCCTCATGTCATGTGAGATGTTGAGCAAGAGAAATGGCATGAGAATTGCTCTGAATGACCACATGAAACGGGTAAGAAAACCAGAAAGGCAGAAACTCTGATATTTCCCAAAGAGGAGGGAGTGCTTTCAAAGGGGAGAACATGTATCTGTCCCTGTAAAGGATACATATGAGCTGACACAGCCTCACAGTGGTTACTGTGCAGACATTGATGCAGACACATGCATTAAACCAGGGAGATGGGCCTTCAGCTCTACAGTCTCCAGCCTCAGGGATAACACAAACCACTAGCCCAATGGTCATGGACCAGCTTGATTTCCAGTTTCTTATGACCATTTATCTCTGGCTGTGCTGTGCCAGCCCAGATCACACCAAACTGGACCAAATGCTGAAAGTGCCACATCACAGACAAGAAGTGCAGGGAAATGAATAGTTCACTGTCCCCTCCCACACTTTGCAGAATGATCCCCTGAGGCACACCAGCTGGTTGTCACAGTAATATAATGTGAAGAGTGGATGGATGAGGCCCCCATATCCCAGGGAGTACCACCCCAGCAAAGTCACCAGAAGCAATGGTGGGAAGGGGTGTGAAGGAGTCTGGTCCATATTGTGGTGCTGGTACCCTACCCCTTTCTGAAGCCTCGATCTCTCATCATGCAGGACTTGGGACCTGCTGTTACTGCTTTTGACGCAAAACAGGTGCCCAGCTCTGTCATTAGATTGCACAAATTACTTGAAGTGCCCTTGCTCAGCATGGGGAGATGGTGCTTTGCACCTCCCACTCTCCAGTGCTCAGCCAGACTATCTCTTCTCTCCTACCCACCTTCTCTTTGCAGCGTCGGGAGGTGGCCAAGACTGTGTTCTGCCTCGTGGTGATCTTTGCACTCTGCTGGCTGCCTCTCCACCTCAGCCGCATCCTCAAAAAGACCATCTATGACCAGACAGACCCCAACAGATGTGAACTGCTCAGGTAGGGGCATCAGCAGGAGGGCACCGTGCTGGCACCCTCTGTGAGCATGGGCAAAGGCTCTGCTGGGCTCATTGCTGGCTGGTGGAGTTGCCTTCCAAACACCTTGTTTCAATAGCTCCTTTCTAGATGGCATTGCTCTCCTGATAGGCACAGAAAAAGGGTGTGGGGGACCATAAGAAGAGAAAAAATTAAATTTTGAAATATATCTCTAAAGCTATAGGTTAAAGAGGTCTCCTGGGCAGAGAAACATTCTCTGTAGGGCTAAAGGGACTGTAGCACTTCTGACGGCTGTGCACGCTTTCTGCCATGTTGTAGGTGTCTGTCTCCCCCTCTCCTCTTTACCCATCATGCCAAAATCCAGTTCAGGCCAGACACCACTATTGTGCTTGAGTTTGAGAACATCAGAGTCACCAAGGAAAATCAGATCTCATGGTCCTGGTTTCTTCAGGAAATGCTCCTCACAAGAAAAAGTGTTGCGCAATTGTCTAGCTGCAGGAGGGCCTTCTCTGTGCTCACCTCTGTGTTATCAGGCACTGGCACCTCTGTGGAAGCAGGATTCCAGGCCAGGCAGTTGGCAAGCATTTTGGAAACCCTCCCTCATTTCTCTGTAAGCTTCCAACATGTCCACCCTCTTCTCTCCCCTCCTGCCTCAGTTTTCTCCTAGTGATGGATTACTTTGGGATCAACATGGCCTCCCTCAACTCCTGCATCAACCCTGTGGCTCTCTACTTTGTCAGCCGGAAATTCAAGAACTGCTTCCAGGTAGGGTTCCCCCCTCCAGAGCTCCTGGCTACAGTGACCATTCTCAGACACTGGTCCCAGGGGCACAAGCTCTCACAGACCAGGCACAGTGCAGCCAGAGGCAGCCACATCACAGTGGATTTCTGTGCTTACGAGATGAGAGGGAAGATGGAGAGCAGTTTGGCAAACACACCCAGCAAGCAGCAACAGAGACAGGTCTGAACCTCACAGCTCCTAGCTCCCAGACAAATGCCCCATCAGGGACACACTGGGGCTGCCAGTAACCCACACGATTCCCCTATTTGCTCATATGTTGATCATATTTCCCCTCTCAAATCTTCCCCCTGCTACATGCCTCTCTTCCCAGCTTCAAGTACACTAGAGCTCGCTGTCCTGACAGGGGGAGGCTTTTGCCAATGCAGGACCTAGGGCAAGCCAAAAAATTTCCCATCATTCTGGATCAGAAGTATCCTCACAAACCATTAGACCAGGGACTGGGATTGCTTTAAACTTCAAGACCAAGTTATTAACAGATAATTTTCAGGAGCAGTGGAACCCTGAGAAAGGAAGGGGAAAGGAAGGGAGGGGATGGGATGGAATGGGAGGTGATGGAAAAGGAATCCCCTCCCAGCTGCTGTGGCATAAAGAAGAGTTGAGCCCAGCTAAGCACTGCTTGTATTTTCTGTCCCCCAAGGACAAGAAGCCACAACTGCAAAAGGTAACCACGATTTCAGTATCTTCATTTCCAAACCACACCAGCTCTATCTTAGAAAACCTGCTCCCAGCAGGTCTGCAGGACATCAAGGCTCAGAAGTGCAGGCTGCATCTCCCAGTCTGGCACTGTGCAGGTTGCCTGTTCAGCATCAGTAAGAGAATAATTCCTCCTCTTTTACCCCGTAGATCACACTTGTAACCTCTCTCCCCACCCTCTTGTCTCTTTGCAGTCCTGCCTGTGCTGCTGGTGCCAGAGACCAGCTCTGAGCATCACGCCGACAGATGAGAAGGGCTCTGTTGGAAAGTGGAAAGCCAACGGGCAAGAGCTTGGGCTGGACCGGAGCAGCTCCCGCCTGAGTAACAAGTACAGCTCTTCCTAAAGCCATGCCACCCGCAGGGCCGAGAGGAGAAGGCACTGTGCCAGGACAGCAGGACCCCTCCATTTCTCTCACATGGCCATTTTCTGGCTGGGCCTGAATTGTTTTTGCCTTCGTGTCATAACCCACCTGGAAGGAGCTGCAGCATTTCACAGACCCTGGGACTAGCTCTGAACACAGCCTCTGAACCACGCCGATCCGTCCTCTGGTCCAAGTTGCCTCTGGAGGAGGGGGAAAGGGATTCAGATCCTTGTAGGATTTTTAATTTCCTCACAGGAAACCCAAGTGACTTATGGCTATTTTGTCTCAGGTGGAAACATGGGGCGGGGAGATGTGTGTGAAACGGGAAGGAAAGTTGAGATGTGGTCACTTTGAGGTGGATGTGGGATGAGGAGGAGAGGGAAAGGACCATGAGCAACACTTCCAGCTGAAAAAGCCAAAGAAAAGCTTTGATAACATCCCTTATCATCTCCCTCTGATGCTGGAACAGTTTGTCCCTGGGCAAAGAGCCAGGATAAGATTCAGGCACTGTGTATGTCTGGTAGACCATCAGTGGTGTGAAATCTCCTCCTCTTCATGGTAGGGAGAGCTGGGCAGTAACTTGTCTTCATTGTGTGACCAGTCTGTCCTGGGGAGCCCTAAAAGTTCCCATCTTCTTCACCTCTACCTGGGAAATCTGCCCCAGGCTCCCCACCCAGGAGTGATGTTCACTCCACCTGTGTACAGCACAAGAAAGTGATTGTATGTGACCACATGGCTTAGGGGACCAGATATCCTTGGCAGAACCTAGTGACAGCATCCAGCCAAACCATTGCCTCCAGATTCCCCCTCCACAGGGACAGGGCTAGCCAAGTGAACTCCTGGCTAGCCAGGCACCATTGCTGGCCCAAGGGGTAGTCTTTCCAAGGAAGAGTTAGTAAGCCCAGGAAAGGGAAGGCAGAGGTGGCTCAAATCTGGATGAGGTTGTGACCAAGGAACCAGCCCTCACCTTTCCAATGCCCTGTATAACCTGGAAGCAGCTAATTCTGTGCCTGACATAGGAGCAAGGGAGAGGATCCAGGAGATGCGCCCTTCCAGAAGAGCATCCAGCCTTGATCCGAGGTCTCTGACAGCTGGGAGGTCCACAGCCTTCTTCAGCCACTGGGTCCTGGGAAGGGGATCACCTGCAAGACCACAGCTCTGAAGGAAAAAAGGGGTGTCCTGCATTGTGATACCTGTAGTCTGTCTTCCCCCTGCCAACAAGGCTGAGCTCCAATGGGGCAGAGGGGCTGGACCCCCATGTGTCTTGGCCATGGCACCATGACACCAGGGTTCATGGCATTTGCAAGGGGACAGAGATGATCGTCCTCATGGTCAAATTAAGGTGGAAAAGGCAATGGGAAAGGTTCAACCTCAGCTGAAAGAGCCAGTGGAGCTATCGAAAATGTGGCAAAGAGCTTTCACAAATTTACTCTTTAAAATAATTAATCCCTGAGTGCTTTTCCAGCATGTTTTTCTAAAAATCATGCTTGCATCTCTTGCCAAAACTTTAAGAATACCTGTATAAGAAAGTTTTAGTTACCAAGTTTTTGATTATTTTTCTGTTGTTTTTTAATTCTTTTCCCTCTCTTTCTTTCTTCTTTCACCTTTTCATCTTGTCATGGGAAAAAATGGAGAGGAAAAAGGGAGAAAAGACCTGCAAATAAAGCAAAATATTTTCCACATGTTGGGGATTTTTTAGCTTAGCTTTCACTGAAATGCAAATGTTTTACAAAGAAATCACATTTCTGAAAGACAAACAGGTTTCAACGAAAACAGAAAGAATATCTAGACCAGCCCATTTTCTGTAAACTTACCTACCCACTAGAGCAGATTTCTGTATCAATTTCACAGCGTTGCTGCTGTGCTCTGCCCTAGAGCTGGCTGCATTTTGTTGGTGGACAAATGAAGTCGACAGAGAAAACTGATAAAGACTGAAATGTTCCAGCGCAAACATCTTAGTAGAAGAGTATATTTAATGATTTTGCTTATAAAAAAATCTGAATTTTATATATTTCTGTATTTGTCCACATTTACAGACAAATGGATTCTGCAACTTCAAATCAACATCTCATACCACTCCAAGGATGTAGCAGTGGGTAAGCCAGTGGCACATCAAGCCCCAACACAATGTTTCACTCACATTCTGCCTGACCCTGAATTGTGGCAAATCAGTTCCAGATGGCCCCGCTCCTTGGGGGCCTCCTGCCAGGATGAGGTGAGCCCTCTCCTATGTACCAGGGCCTGCTCTGCCGAGCTGCAAGCAGCTGCTATGGAGTGGTCTGCTTCAGGTTAACATCTCCACCATTGCAACTCTGTTGGTACTCCCTAAAATTCATGCACCCACCTGAGCTCTGGGTTTAGTGTGCTCAAGGGGTGCCAGGGCAGCTGTGCCGTGCTGGTGGCTGAAAGGGAAAGTGGGAAAGTCCCGTAACAGGCAGTAGTTAGGACTCTAGCAGCTAACTGGGATCCTCTGACCCTATGGCTACAGTTTTCCTCCCACTCATCTGAAGTGGCTGGTGCTTTGGTCATAGGTTGAGACATCTTTCTCTCTTGGGGTCCTCATTGCATTGCACAGACCTGGAGTGCAGCCCTGGCTTGTGGAGACCCCACCATGAGAGTTACATAGGTGAGAAACACTGTGTAAGCAGGGACTTTGCTTGCTAGGGGCTGATTTGGGTCAGTGCCCTTATAGCCTGGACAACCTGGAGAAGTCTGACAACTCCAGCAAGCAGAGGATTCTGTGGGTCAGATTTAGAGATGTGTCAGGTAAAGCTGTTAAGTCTGGGTGACAGTAGGTAATTCAAGGCCAACAGACACACTGAGCAGGGACAGCTTCAGCCCCAAATCAGCCTGGAGACAAACTGAGGATGAGCACACACACATGCAAGGAATGTGATTTCCTCTGTCCTGTCCACCTGTGCCCTCCTGGCACATACGTTGTCCCTCTGCTAGGCCAGGTGCCAGTTTTCAGGTGGTTTGTTTCAACCTGACCCTGAAACACCAGCCACATGGCTGCCCTTAATTAAAAAGAAATAATGCCAAATGAACTGGAGTTGTCAGAAGACAGGATCTCTTGGGCAGTGAGTCAGGAGAAACAGCTTTCTAGAAACAAGATCATTCCAGATCCAGGAGGGATATGGACACCAGCTCACTGTACCAGGACATAGGGGAGGAACATTCTGTTCTCTAGAGGACTGAAATACTTGGGGACACAGGAGCCAGCTAAAATGCACTCAGTGCCCCTAAGAAGCAGAAGCATCAAATCTGCATGTCCACAAAAGCCAAAAAGGTGAAGTAGAAAAGAAAGAAGCTTAGGAATTTAAAGCTATGGACCTGTCCCTGGCTGTTGCCATCCTCCTTGCTGCAAAATAAAGTTGGTCCCAACTGGTAAAAGTCAGGATTATCATGTTAGAACACAAGCAAAGCCTGCAGTCATGCAGTTTAGCACCTGCCAGAAGCTGAACAAGGGTTGTCCTGTCTTTTTACTTGCACAGAACATGGGAACTAGCATATTTAAATGCACAGCTCCCATTCATTTCAGTGAAGATTGAACCATCTTGACAATTTCCCAGTAGTGACCTTTGGTAGTGTCATAAGGAGCAGCATCCCAAACACTGAAGAGCCAGAATCCTTTCCTAAGGACAGGCAGAACAGCCAGGACCTGCTAATATTCACAAGACAGACACCAATTACAGGCACACAGGGGAATCCTTTTACCTTACTTAACCTCCTGAGCCCCAAGAGGCTAACATCTCTTTATGCTCCAAGAACAGATTTAATCACTGCTACATTAGCAGCTACACTCAGATCAACATTTTAGCCTTAAATGGTTCAAAACCAGTCTCAGATCTGCACATTATTAATATTGCAACAAACAGTCTGACATGAATTCATCCCAGCTCTGGACATTGCTATCACTTGCTGCATGTCTGTTTAACAGTGACTTCATCCTCCTTTGGTATAGCTTTCCCCCTGTGTTTTCCTCACAGACATCTTCTATTAAAACCAACATCATGAAGTTTGACCAAGTGTGAGAGAGGAGGGAGAGGAGAAGAGAGCTGAGATAGCAGCAGCAACAGTACCCTTTTAAAGCTCTTCTACTGCACCAGCATCCAAATGGCACTTTCCCATCCCTAGAAGGTATCCCTTAGGCTACAACCAAGACCAGGACCAGCATGTTTCAGCTCAAGGGGACAGTACTGACTATCAGAAAAGAAGTGCACGTACAGCCTGGTTTTAGCCACTCATGGAAATGCGGATGTGAAGACAGGTCCCTGCTGCCAGCTCCTATTGCACTTCACAGGGGAGAACCGTACAGTTCTGGGCATTCACAGGTTCCCTTGCTTTCCCAGGTACAGGAGGTCCAGAAACAGTGGTCCTTGTGGTGTGGCATGGCACGGCATGGAACAGCACAGCACGGCACAGCCCAGCCCAGCAAACATGCAGCTGGCCCATAGCATCCCCTGCACAGTGGAGGAAGTGACCAGCAGGTCAATGACCAGCTGGATTTCAAGACCTTTTTAAAAAGCTGTTCTCCAAGGCACCAGGGCTGAGATTGAGCCCAGGCGCATTAGTCAGCTCCTGGTTTATTCACCCCTTCACCCTCTCCCTCCTGCCCTGGGGAAACTGCTTTCCTGCTTTTTTTATGTCTCACTCTTGCTTGGACTAGGGAATTCTCCAACCAGAAAGTCCCCAGGCCTGTGCGTGCTCCTATGCAGCGGGGTGAAACACACACCAACACCCACCAGGAATAGCTCCTCTTCCCCATGTGCAAGCATGCTTTAACCACCCACAGGATTCAGCATGAAGGAACCAGGCCAGACAGGATTAGCCAAAAGCAAAGCCACAGCAGCTACCTCGTATGGATGTGGGACCATGTTGGCATGGGCAGGATGAATCCATTGCAGCAAACTGAAAGTCAAAGGAGCCTTATTATGAAATGTCGGGTTCAGCTGGCTTCTTGACCTAACACTTGTGAACAGAAACTCAGCATCAGCCTGTCAGGGAGACCAAGTCTGTGAATTTATATTTGAAACAGTGATTTTTATAGAGAAAACCTGACATTTTACATCCTCCCTCTTATTCCTCTGTATGTTAATAAAACATGTTGGTGTCTGAAAGTAAAATCTTTAGGTGTTTCTTATTAAGCAGCAGGGGGTCTGCAAAGTCTGCTAAATACTTAATTGAGTGTCAGCAGGTTCCTTTGGTAACTGCAGACCTCCAGTGAAGAGACAAGAGGTGTCCCCCCTGTGCAGAGCAAACCGGAAAGGTTCACAATCCTATGCCCGGCATAAAGCAGAAAACCCCTGCAATTTCATGCCACATTACACTCAACAAAAGGCTTTCACTTGGCTGGTTGCCAGCAGATCTGCACAAGGCCAGCGTTTCAGTGCTGTACCCTTTAAAACTGCTCACGAGGAAGTGGTCTGGGCTTGCCTTTGTCTGCATTCTTCAGGGGGTTAAAAAAGGCAAGTGGTTTTTTACTCATCGCACCCCTCAAATGAGCAGAGTATCATTTTATTGTGGTCTGCTTAAAAAGGAAGGCAGGCTATAGCTGCTGAAGTCAACTACACCGGTGCCAGTAACACAAAGGTTTACATCTGGAAAGGGTGCTGCCTCTCTAAAAGCTTGATTTCACACCACACCGAATCCCTCTGCTCCCTGTGGACTCTGGGAGAGACAAATTCTGTGCACCAGACTATCTGCAAACTCTGTCATCTGAAAATCCTGGGCAGGAAACAGCAACAACTCTCGGAAAGGGGAAGAAATAAGATGGAAGAGCTGCCTTCTATCTATCATTTTCCATACCCGTGCTGAGCTGCACGCAATGTCACCTCTGCAGCATCAAACTTCATAAACTTTATTATTAGTGAAAATACAGTTTTGCATCAAAGCAGTCATAAAAAAAGAATACAAACAAAAAAACACACTTGACATGGGGAATTCAACACACAGAAGTTACACACATCCATGGGGGCTGCCATCCCCAAATGCTACTGCATCTCTTCCTTCCTCTGGGCCCTGTATTCCTTCATGCTCTTCTGCAAACAAGAGCAGAGGACAAATGTTAAAAGCATATATGTGAGCAGCTCATATAGCACAGTGCCACCACCCTGGTCTGTGCTGTGACTTCTCCGCCCAGTGCCTGAAGTGTTGAGGGACCCGAGAAGCTCTGACAGAGCTCCAAGTACTTTCAGAAGTGACTGAGCTTTACAGTCACTCCAAGGGAAAGGAAACCAGGCCATGCCGCTGGTCAGAGAATGTCTAAAAAAACTATTAAGTTTTTCATGTCATAAGTGCCTACAATGCAGGTCTCAGCCCATTCTTCTCCCCTCCGAGACCAAGAGATAGAAAAGGCCCCTGAGCTCTTCAGAAATAGTCTCACCTCAAAGGTGTTGAGCACGTGTTGGCAAACACCCATCAGATCGTTCAGCCCTTTCCGGAATGGCTCTACAGCAGGAAGGGCCCCTTCAGGAAAGAAAATGCGTTAGTGAAATGGGAGACAGCTTCCAAAAGGGCTGATAGCCCTGTCCCTCACCACTCTGAGGCAGCATGGTTGTTACCACCAGGCCCAAGTC